AATTATATAATAATAAATAATATATATAATAATTATAATAATTTTTTTAATATATATATATATATTTATATAATAAATATTCGCAAACGAAAATAATCTTTCACCGTGTCTTCGCGCGATGTTCGCTTTATCGCTACATTTACAGCATTGTAAATCTTTTTATTGCTACCGCCGGTTGTTTCTTTTTTTTTTCTATTCTCGAGAATGGCGAGTCCACTGCCCTCTTTCCAAGACTCCGTGTCCACTTTCTCCCTCTGTCTTGCGCTCGCAGAACTACATAAGTCCACTGATTGGTCCGCTGGACCAACTAGACGAAACATGGATAACGACATGGATCTCTCTCTCTCTCTCTCTCTCTCTCTCTCTCTCTCTCTCTCTCTCTCTCTCTATGTTTGTTTCGTCACCGCATTCCGCTTGACGTGACCGCGTCACTTGCTCGCTTTAAGATACATCGTCTTGTCGATAAAAATCTCTCCCAATCACGTTCTCAGCCGTTGATCGTAGACAATGCACACACATCGACGTTCATTTTGTAAACACTCACAGTCACCGTGGACAATGAGTTTGGGACAATGTGAGTTCGCACAAAAAATTGTTCTCTTTTGGTTTATGCCAATCAATAGCGAATACGTACTCCCAAATTTGGAGGAATTAAAATTAGAGCGTAATAATAGCCGATTTTTTTTCTAGAAGACGCGCGAAGGAACATAGCGGCTTTGTTCTCCCGCCAAAATGTTGGGTTAATAAACGGAAGCATAAAACAAAAATACAGAGACAGTAACTCCGGATATAAACAATGCTGCCATGATACGTATTTACTTTCGGACAATTTTTGGATGTAGGCCAGCGTCGTTTCTCGCTCGGTACGTCAATTTGGTACTGGCAAACGGCCGAAATTTTCGTCGAACAGATGTCCGAATGACTGTTATTATCCGCTTGTTACAAATGAGAACGGAGAATGCTTAATTGTGCTGCTAGTGATACCTCGCTAAAAAAAAAAGAAAAAAAGATACATTGTCATATTTAATAGGGCTGTCCTCAACGGGTCGAGACAAGTTAACACACCGTTTAATTGTGCAGTACCTTGTCGCCAACGATGCTACCAACAATGACGACAAAGTCATTCTTGAAATGTGTAAGGTATAATCTTACGAATACGGTGAACACAACAGAATAAAAATGATAAACATGTTTAACAAGAATTTCGCTACGATGTATATAAATAGTCAAATAAATTGACTTGTTCTCGCAGTCTACTTGACTGGAGATTCGTATTTCCCGGGTAAATGTAAAATCTTATTTCAAGGATACGCGACGTGCACGACGATCAAAGAAATTCTAATGATATAATGATTCCGAGCAACGCGTAAAAGACAAGTCGCTGAAATCGTCAGCTTGTTCGAGTCGAATGTGCATGCACGAACGAATGCATTAACGTCGCGACCGAGTCTACACGAACTGCGGGTACTAGCTGAATTAGAGTCCGATCGTGTCAACACCGAACAGATAGATGTGGCAACGTTGTGCGGACGAGTTTAGTAGCCGGCTAGCCAAAGCACGGAGTAGCCGACCGGTGGAACGTCCGCACGTCCGGGAACGACCTTCCTTTACTCGTCCTGTGTCGAAGAACCTCACCTCGCAGACTCGAACAATTCTTTACCTTTTTTCAGCAAAGAATTTTTCACATAAGCTGTACCACAAAATAATCTCGCATAATTGCGAACAACGATCATGATCTTTATGCAACTCCCAAAATGTACTGTTACCTAATTTTTTTCTACGAAGCAGCTGGAATATAAATTNCTCTCTCTCTCTCTCTCTATGTTTGTTTCGTCACCGCATTCCGCTTGACGTGACCGCGTCACTTGCTCGCTTTAAGATACATCGTCTTGTCGATAAAAATCTCTCCCAATCACGTTCTCAGCCGTTGATCGTAGACAATGCACACACATCGACGTTCATTTTGTAAACACTCACAGTCACCGTGGACAATGAGTTTGGGACAATGTGAGTTCGCACAAAAAATTGTTCTCTTTTGGTTTATGCCAATCAATAGCGAATACGTACTCCCAAATTTGGAGGAATTAAAATTAGAGCGTAATAATAGCCGATTTTTTTTCTAGAAGACGCGCGAAGGAACATAGCGGCTTTGTTCTCCCGCCAAAATGTTGGGTTAATAAACGGAAGCATAAAACAAAAATACAGAGACAGTAACTCCGGATATAAACAATGCTGCCATGATACGTATTTACTTTCGGACAATTTTTGGATGTAGGCCAGCGTCGTTTCTCGCTCGGTACGTCAATTTGGTACTGGCAAACGGCCGAAATTTTCGTCGAACAGATGTCCGAATGACTGTTATTATCCGCTTGTTACAAATGAGAACGGAGAATGCTTAATTGTGCTGCTAGTGATACCTCGCTAAAAAAAAAAGAAAAAAAGATACATTGTCATATTTAATAGGGCTGTCCTCAACGGGTCGAGACAAGTTAACACACCGTTTAATTGTGCAGTACCTTGTCGCCAACGATGCTACCAACAATGACGACAAAGTCATTCTTGAAATGTGTAAGGTATAATCTTACGAATACGGTGAACACAACAGAATAAAAATGATAAACATGTTTAACAAGAATTTCGCTACGATGTATATAAATAGTCAAATAAATTGACTTGTTCTCGCAGTCTACTTGACTGGAGATTCGTATTTCCCGGGTAAATGTAAAATCTTATTTCAAGGATACGCGACGTGCACGACGATCAAAGAAATTCTAATGATATAATGATTCCGAGCAACGCGTAAAAGACAAGTCGCTGAAATCGTCAGCTTGTTCGAGTCGAATGTGCATGCACGAACGAATGCATTAACGTCGCGACCGAGTCTACACGAACTGCGGGTACTAGCTGAATTAGAGTCCGATCGTGTCAACACCGAACAGATAGATGTGGCAACGTTGTGCGGACGAGTTTAGTAGCCGGCTAGCCAAAGCACGGAGTAGCCGACCGGTGGAACGTCCGCACGTCCGGGAACGACCTTCCTTTACTCGTCCTGTGTCGAAGAACCTCACCTCGCAGACTCGAACAATTCTTTACCTTTTTTCAGCAAAGAATTTTTCACATAAGCTGTACCACAAAATAATCTCGCATAATTGCGAACAACGATCATGATCTTTATGCAACTCCCAAAATGTACTGTTACCTAATTTTTTTCTACGAAGCAGCTGGAATATAAATTTTAGGGATGTGCATTTTCCCGTGGATTCCGCAAGAAAATTTCAATCTCTAATTAGAATCTGAATTAATCACAATTTTAAGCCTCCGTTATCCGTGTTCGATCCATTTGTATAATCAATCATAAAAGTTTTTATACGCTTGCCAAATTTCATTCTTTTTTAATTAATTCATCGATCAAACTTGAGAAATTTTGAAAGGTCGTTGTATTTCCTACAAATGCGATCGTTCAATTCTCCGAATAAAAATACACCTCTTTAATTTCCCTCGGACAGGGAGGAGTGTAATCTGACCGCAGTTACACGTCCTAGGGGGTTTCGGTTCGCAGTTGGCACACGTGCGCAGGTGGAGCACGGCTTTTGCTAGCTGGTGGTTTTTTACATCGCGCGGGCTCTAGTGGTTTTTTCCCATCGTGTTTCTTTGCTAACGGGAGGTGGAGAAGAGGAAGGGAGAGAGAACGAAAGACACGGGAAAGAAAGGTGCGAGTGGGAGGGAGAGCGGTTATCGGAAAAGGAAAGTAATACTCGGAGCCGAGAAAGAGAAGTCAGGGTTCGGGGCTTCGTTCCTTCCAGCTGGCCTGGCACGGCAAAGGAGGCCTTGTCGCGCGGCTGCTCGTTCGGTCAATGTCTTCTCTTTCTTCCTCGCTCTTCCTCTGCTGCCTTCCTCGTCCTTCCCTCCCCACCTTTTTCCCACTAGCGCCTTCCCCTCCACTTTCTACGTCCTCCGATCCTTCCTCCGGCTCGCCTCCCTTCACCTTTTCCCCGCTTTGGCTACCTCTTTCATTCTCCCCCCACCATTCGTGTGCTGCATCGCGCACACGAGACACACGGTTGCTAGCTGCGAATCCTGCTGTCATCTTCTGCGAACGCTCCCGTCTGTTTCGAAAGGTTGAACCATCGACGAAAATCGCTATATTTGATCGTCTATTGAAAGTACCAGCGCGTGTACTCGCCAAGCCGTAGGAATATACGCGAACGTTCATCACCGATAACGGTATTTAGGTGCACAAGAGGGGAAACACCGAGAGTAACAGAAAAAGAGAGAGAGAGAGAGAGAGGGTGGGGGGAGAAGGTGGGGGGCTGAGCGCCACCCGTTCGGAAATGTGCACTGACATCGCGGTTTAAAGCCACCCGAAGGAAAGGCGTTCTCGTGCGGCTTTTTCTACTTGTGCGCGCGCGACCAGCATCCGTCGTTCAAGTATCTCGCGTTTCTTACCCGTTTCGCTGCCGATAAATTCGACGTTCACGGCCGACACAAAGGCCAAGAGACGTGCACTCTGTTCGCGCCGGTGCAAAACTGTGCAGTGTTTACCATACGTGTTGAATATACTCGATCGCTGCTGGCCAGTCATATGCGTGTCCAATTCAAATACGGCGAACGATTCACGCACGCACACTCAGTATCCCCGTATTAGGTGCAACGAATCATCGTAACCAGTAGAATTCGATTGTTTTAATTCGCGACCGTCGAGTTCGAGATTCCATGAAGCTTCACTGACGAAGATTGCATTACCGTTTATCGCGATACCGCTTGCAACAGCATCCGCAGACTTATGTAAATAACGACATCTGTCTTAGAACGTACTCGCGAATTCTCGAAAACGTGTTCAAACCGATCAAATTGTTGACACATCGACAATTTCTAGCTATTCCTATTTTTAATTGTATCCCATGGAACTCAGTGCACATATTTTTGAAAAATATTATGTAAAGTAAGTTTTTCCTTCTTGTATTGTTAAACTATCATGAATTTTTTGTTTTTGATTACAGAGTGCAATAAAGCTAGCTGGTAAAAATAATGTCAAGAAGCTGCATACGCTGCTGTCAATAGTAGAAGAGAAGCCAAAAGTGGACACAGGACAAAATAATAGACACAACGAGCATCACATCAAAAATCACTTCAAGCACAACCATTATACACACAATTCCATACTGACACCTTCGACGCTTAACCAGGTAATGTCTCAAATATAGAGAAATTTGTGTACTATATGGTAGAATGATAAATCAACTGTAAACCGTTTGTCTTTAAGGGCCTAGATGCAGGTACAAGCGACGATAGTGGTAGAGCATCTGAACAACTGCACGGCCCTGGTATACCTAGGGATTGCCAGGACGCAGACAGTTCCAGGGACCACCTCAGCGATGTAAGTGGGATTACATTGGTGTTCTTGTAACTGCTCACAACATTAAATTGGTTACTCATGCTTGCTTTGCTTACATTTTTACAGGCTAGCAGTCATTGCAGTTCGGGTAAAGGTTATATCGTAAGTATACAAATAAGTGAAACCAAAATCTTGACCAGAAACATTTCAAATCAGTTTAATACTCTCTTTTTTTCTGTTCTTTATAGTGTGATAGTGAAGGAGAAGACGATAAGGTATGTAGCTTTAAATTCTGTTGATTAAAAGATTGATAAAGAGTTAGTATGTTTTTGACAACAACTTTTGTTTTGCAGGGCTCGGATGCTGAATCGATACTCTTTGAATCTTCTACCCCACCACCCCTTGCACGTAAATGTACGTAACATGCATATCAATAATGCATCTGTAACGTCGTTAGCATTCATTCTCACTGAATTTGAACTTGTAGACGAGTTGCCATCATCTTCACCACACGTATTGCCTCCAGCAAACGGGGCCGGAGGTTCTCCTCCAGACACTGGCGGACAAATTTCCAACCCAGCAACGGATGCTCCAGCACCAATACCACCACCTGTGCCTGCATCTGCACCAGTACCTACAGCGCCAAGTCCTCCCAGCCCTACTCTGCCCCCTCACATATCCCAGCCACCTGTAAGTAAACGTTTTAGACATTTTCTTTCTCTTTCTATGAGTGCATTGTATAATTGATTGAACACATTTTCAGATGACTAGTCCACTGGCAGCGAACCCACGTGCAATAGCTCCGCAGCAGCGACCAGCTTCCCCAGCTCTGCCACCTCCATCCTTGTCTCAACAGCCTCATACTACGATACCTGCGTTACACACACCTAATGTGCCCCTCGTTTCGTCGAGTCATACAACTAGTCCTGCGGTAGCCAGTTTAGGTGTCACCCCAGCAGCACCGTCAAACGGAGCAACCACCACCAGCTATCCACCGTCGATACCCATGGCCGCTTATCCCCAAACTCAACCATCTTATCCGCCTCTTTATACACCATACACTGCTCTAAACCACAGCCCATACCTTCCACCCGCGGTACCTTCTCCCTCCCATTCTGCATCATCACGGGCAGAAGTGGTAAGTCACAGATATTTGTTTCTCATTTCACAAGGGAACATAACGAAGACTTAGGTTGACTTAAGTTCTAATTTTTTAGCAGCCAATTTAAATTCACAGTTATTCATGTTAGGTCTAAAAAATCTATCTTGTCACCTCGGTATATTCCCTTGGTATTTATGGATTTCTGTTGAACTAATGTTATATGCGAAACCTTTTTGAAAAACTAATATCAATATTTTCTATTCTTTTCTCTAGAGAGGTAGTAGAGCTTCCCCGTGTACTAATATAAGTAAACAGCCTGTAGGAAATAATACCACAAACCATAATACTCCCCTGAGCGCTGCCACCACGACATGCGTATCCACGATAACCAACACAGTCACTACGGCGAACACCATTGCTCATAGAGACATGGTAGCCTGTAGCATAACTGGAAGAAACAATAACTCGCCTCGCGGACACAGCCCGAGCCGGGAAAGGGATAGTTACAGGTATAATCTCTTGTAGTTGTATACGGGATAATTAGCTTCAAAGTCCTGATCATATTCTATGACGCACTTTGTATAATCGCATAGTTTGCTTTGCATAATATAATGAAGTACTTACAGTGACATTACTTGTTACAGCAGCAACGTGAGTAGCCTAAGTCGAGGTAGCATAACACCAGTGAGTGTGCCAAACACATCTTCTCCAGCGAATTCTAGTCTACCTGCTTACTCCAAGCCACAAGGATGGATTGGGTACGAATACAATTTAGTTCTATCGCACATCGATATATTTATAAAACTGTTATGACTAAATTTCGAATGAAAACTTGCAGCAGCAGCACAACTTCGCAACTTTCCCCGGCAACAGCGACATCAGTTCCAAGACCAACTCCTCCACCGGTACCTTTAGGCATGCACACGTTTCCACCACCAATGTTCGCCGCACCGTTACCACCCCCTGTCTCCAGTTCCAGTCCACATACGTCATTGCCTTCGCTACCACCACCAACGACCAATCCCAATCCGTTCTCGGCAGAGTCGCTCTTTCAAACAAGTAAGTGCACCAACTGCGCTATTTTTCGTAATTAGAACTCCTACTATTTATATATCCGAGTACTCGTTACAACTTAATCACAGGTTCGAGAACCGAATATGCAATAGTAAGAGCCCTAATAGAGATTCTTAACAGAACGAGATATTAACCGAAAATAGGGGTGACTCATGTCGCAGGTCAAGCAGACCTGTTAAGGCGAGAGCTTGATAGCAGGTTTTTGGCATCACAAGATAGAAACGTTGCAGTTGGCAATTTGGGCCCACCACCGTACCTTAGGACAGAGATGCACCACCATCAACATCAACATACTCATGTACATCAGCACACGACACCTTTACTTCCACCAACGGCAGCTACAACCTTGTTTCCACCTCCAATTGTATGTAAAATAACCGATTGGGTTTTCGAATCACTAATAATAAAAATGAATTCGGAAATTTTACTAGCAATTGAATCTTCAGTTTAAGGATATCCCCAAACTGGGAGGAGTTGAGTCACCATTTTTTCGTGGCAATTTAAATCTCTCCGGTTACTCTGGTTTCAACACCGGACTCTTGCATCCAGGTATTGGGCCGCCTTCAACACCCTTCGTTGCACCGAATCATTTAACATCGTTTGCACCGAAGGTACTGTTTATGATCTTTGTGTACTCTACAATCGTGAGCTTCTGTACAAATCACTTGTTCATGTTTGTATCTTTTTTTCAGAAAAGTGGAAAATGGAATGCAATGCATGTGCGTATTGCTTGGGAAATTTATCATCATCAGCAGAAACAACAAGCAGAATCAAAGGCTGGAGGAGTTGTTAGTACCAAAACGGAACTACTTAGACCGCCAGGTCATCTTTATCCAGGAGGGCCAGGAAGTGGTCTGGGAATTGGAGCGCCACCAATGGCACCTCCATTCCCCACAAACATGCCTCCTGCCCATCCTGCACCACCGCCACCACATCCTGGTTTCCTATCTACGCCAGCGTCGCATTTAGGTAAACTATCCTGCTCATTGCTGAAACAAAATATTAATAATTTCAAATGAAGAAAATAAAATATACATTACATGAAAATGATTACAGGAACAGGAATGTCGCCATTCGGCAGATATCCGTCAACGTTTGGCGCGCCGAATCCTAATTTTCCAGGTCTTTCTAGCTTCCCTCCTTCAAGAGAAATGCCGCCGTTGGGAGGACTTGGTTCTGTTCACGATCCATGGAGGGGGTATGTTTATAATATTGAAGCGTCTCTTGCATTTTCAACTCTTAATAATGACTATGTAAAATACAGATTGCAACGAGCCTCAACCGGATTTCCGCCGACCACCGTTGCCTGGAGTCTAAAGCCGGAACCTCCAGCGATTGACAGACGAGCCGAACTCGAGGAGCGAGAACGCGAGCGTGAACGGGAACGGGAGCGAGAGCGGGAGCGTGAACGCGAACGAGAGCGCGAACGCGAACGTGAACGTTTGAGACGCGAGAAAGAACGGGAGCGTGAACGGGAACGTGAGGAGCAGCGCGAGCGCGAGCGACGTGAACGCGAAAAGGAAGAAAAGAGGAAACAGCAGGAAGCTGCCGAGAGAGAACGAGAGAGGCGAGATAAGGAGCGTCGCGAAATGGAGAGACGTGAGATGGAGCGAGAAAGATTGTTGCATCAGAATCGGCAACACGTGGTCGTAGGACGAGATAGATCGCCTTTGAGGAACGGGTCAGGACCGATGGATACCGGTGAAGTCCGCGTGAAGGAGGAACCGCGAAGCAAAGACGACGAAGTCGTAATGCTTCCAAGACAACCGGGCCCTGGTCCTGGAGCGCCACCCACACAAGGACCTGGTCCTAGTCCACTGCCTGATGCGAGGTACCATCATCCTCATCCACACTCGTACCTGGCCAGACATCCGCACAGTATGCCAGCGCCCCATTCCATGCCACGAAGCATGCTTCCCGGCTTAGGTGCGCACCCGATGCAGCATTTTCCACCACCGTCAGCACCCACTGGCCAACCTGGAGGTCCTTGGCCTGGCGATCCTTTCAGGGATTACCGCTACGATCCTCTTCAACAGCTACGGTATAACCCATTGATGGCTGCTGCGTATCGGGCAGAGGAAGAAGAAAGAGCCAAGCAACTGTACGGCGGATATCCCCCACCACCTGTAAATTCTCTTAGGAGCAAGGACCCTAGTCCCGGCCCATTGAGTAATCTACACATGCATCATAGAGCCGGCCCTGGGCCTGGAGTACCAACGAGACAATTGGAGCCTGCTCTGATGCACGCGGACATACACAAAAAGGAGGATGCGTCCCAATCCCGATGATACATCCTCCCCGCGTCCTCGACTTCTGCGAGCGAACAACGCGCCAACGGGTCTGCGTTCTGAGCATTTCCATGAAGTCTCTCCGGGCCCTCGGTGCTGATATTTTGCTAAAGGAGAAGAGGCGTTATTTAAAAGAAAATTGTACATAGGTTATATAATATTTATAGTTATCGATGAAAGTGATCGAAGCGAACTGTAATATTGTGAGGATAGGACGTTCGCCGATAGTCTCGTATTCTCGAGAGAAGGGCCGTTTAACGAAGATGCCTTGTTTCGCAATCTGTAGATGGTCTACGGTAACTGCGGATGTACGAAGGAGAGACGGTCATGTCGACAAATGTGGCTGTCCTAGAAGGCATTGATCTCGCGAATGTGTTACAAAGAAAATGACAATGACGATTATATTATTGTGATTCTCTGCAAGTTTCGGGGATCTGACTGTTCATAGCGATATATAGACTTTAATCAATACGAGTAAACTATGCGTACAGTTTAAATAAGGAAAACAAAAAAGGTAACGTGTGTAATATTATAGATATTGTAGAATGCGAGACGATGCTACGTAACAGAAAAAAAAAATAATGAAATCCAAGTTAAGAGGAAAAAAAGTTATGCGGATCTCTTACCATTACTCAAAAGTTATTTAATTATTTATTTATTACGACGTATAAACGAATCTCTGCTAATGACGTACGGATACGATCGTAAAAGGAACACAACAAAGAGTAAATTTCCCTAATTCAATCGATATAATATAAACGAACATTATGTGTGAATTTTCGTTTCACTTTGATGATAGATTTTTCATTTGTACTGTAGCGAATGATAGATGAACCGAGAGGGCAAACAGGTATCACTGGCTTTTGGCAGCACAGGCTTGTTCCCCTGCCCGAACCCCCCCTTTCTCCTAATTCCCCAATCATTTGCATGGAGACTAGAATTGCACTCTGGTGCTTTCCTGTGATATAAAAAAAATATGTAAGATTGTTCAGAAGCATTGCAATTGCTTTTTTCATTGTAATTTGTAAAAAAAAGATAAATGGCATAAATCAAATTTTTTGAACAAATTATATGAACGGGTTTCACTGGAGTTGTTAGTTGAAAAAACAAACATAATTGTATTTACTGGAAAATATGAGATATGCGAGTAAACAAATGCATAAGCAGTTTGTCCGTGCCAAAGTGCTTAAATCAAAAATCACATTTACAGCAACGTAGAAAAATTGCAATCAACAATTTGTTTTTCATTTTATCAAAAGAAAACTGAGAACAGTTTTGCATTCTTGTTTATTGTCCTCTCAATTGTCAGCCATATGTAGTATATTTGTATATGTATATACTATATATTTATACATATATACATATACATCGTTATGTTACCAGAGAGCCAATTCGAGATCTCTCACGAAAGGAAATGAAAACTATGGAAAAGTAAACCATATTCGTGCCATGGACCAGGTCAGAATTCGAGAAATCCTGGTACCTCGACAAAAATACTTATGTCAAGCGATCAGGCTCTTGAACTTTGTTTCGTTTATACTGTAAAGTCACTATACAAGTGTATATTATTATATAATTAATGACCATACGCAATTTAAAAATTGTAGATATTTTTCATCGATGCAAATAATTGCAATGTGATGCAATGATTCTGTTCTTGTAGATATCGCGAACTATAAAAGAGGATTTTGTGTGAATAGGTTTTTTCTAAAATTGATTCTTTGTAAAAGGGTCTAATAATCATAGTTTCTATCAAACCTGTCTGTTCTAGTACTTTTCACCAGTCTAAAACATTGAACGATTCATAAAGACCTCAGAAAAGAAGCCTGCGACAAGTACGCCATGTAGTACAAAGAACATGTTCTCATCTTTATACCGTTCTGAAACTGTGCCTATTGTATCACGTGCTCAAGTAGTAAATAATTCTTTCTTCTGAAGTCTTCATGTATTATAAGTATCATTTAATACTATAAAGGGACACAATATTTAAGTGTTTACACATACATTTCTTTCTTTCATTCTGTTTTGACGCCACAACGTCATTCAGGTACCAATCAATTGTAATAACATTTTGACACGTGTGTGAAATTCGTATATTTGAAAAGCAGTATTTGTGGATCGCGAACGGCGATTTAGTGTTCGATAAAGGTGAGTTGCCGGTAAACACAGTCATGAACAGAGTCCTATTGTTTACAGTGCGTACACTTCTTCCCTGTCAAATATGTTCGAATTGAATCGGTAAAAATTGGTTTCCTTAATATATTAAGATGATCAACCAGAATGAACTGCGGTCGATCAAATTCAGTTCTTGCATAATATATACAAAAAAACAAAAGTTGCTATAGAGTGCTGCTGGAGCTTGATGTCGTGTAGCGACGATGTCTGTGCCGTGGATTGTTCGGTGGACTTCGTGACCGGGTTCTTGGCCTACGTCTCGGTGGTCTTGGACTCCTACGACGATTGATAGGTGGTGAACGTCTCCGATAGCGCGGGGGAGTGTTTCTACCGCCGCCACCCCATCGTGGAGGTGCTCTTCTGCCCATCAATGGCGACATCCTTCGCATGGGCAGTGGTCGTGGCTTTGGTAATAATACTGGAGCTGCAGTAATCTCTTGGCCATCTATTTGTCCTGTACAATTCGAGTAAAGCATATAATTGAAGTTTATTCGAAAGGAAGAGTATAGTATTTACATGTCGCAGCTGGATAATTAATTACATAGAATATAATGTCAACCTTGGCAACGTATTTCTATACTTACCACCATCCATATGTTTCATTGCATTCTCTGCTTCATCTGCCGTTTCAAATTTCACATAAGCGAAACCTCGGCCTTGATTAGGATGAAGCTTATCCATAGCGAAGTCGACCATTTTTATCTGACCGTATGTTGAGAAAATTTCCATAATGTGTTCTTTAGTGACATTGCGTGTTAAATGTCCAATGTGTATTTTTGTTGGTCTAGGAATGGGTGATCTTTCTCTGCGTTTTCTACGTGGCGAGGGGGACCTACGAGATAAACGAATATTAAGATTAATGTTACAATATTATATTATCATTAGAATCGATGCATTTACCTTGAACGTCCTTTGGGTTTAGGTTTGTCGATCACAGAATTACTGCTCTTCTTCTTGTCCTTTTCTCTATCCCTGTCCCTATCTCTATCCCTGTCTCTTTCTCTATCTCTTTCCTTCTCCCTTTCTTTTTCTTTATTATCATGTCTACGAGAGGCATCAACACTTTTACTTCGACTTCGCTTCCTTCCCCTGTCTCTGGAGCTTCCGGATGAACTTCCAGAGCTACTCGAACTGGTACTAGAACTAGAACTTGATCTCGAACTGCTTCCACTACTTGTAGACGACGATCCTGAGCTACTATCTGAAGAACTATTAAACAGAAGCAATTACAGAAATTAGATAAAGTCGAAGTAATTTTTTTAATAAAACGACAACTGGGAAGTTAAGATTTATAATACTCATTATTCTGTCAATCTTCTTGTATTACATAGCTTCCTATGATATAAAATACTACTCTTCGGTAGACATGGTCTACATCAGTCACACCTGGTGTAATTGTTTACACTTGAAAAAATTTCTATTATCTTACCTACTACCGCTGCTAGATGTGGAAGCAGCACGCTTCTTTCTTTCCCTTTCTTTGCCCCTTTCCCTCTTGTTCTCTTTGTCCGTAGCTTCAGAGTCGCTTTTACCCGTGCTATCTTTCCGACTGCGTGCCCTACACGAACACATGAAAACACCCGGCAACAACAAGGTTACGATAGTATCACAAGAATGGTCACCGGATAATGTTCAAATAATTTTTATTACTTACATCGCAGAATGGTACGAATCTCGTGGTCGTAGGCGTGGTTTTCACTCTGTAAATGAAAGAAAACTTGGTTGAACGCTGACTAAACACCATTAATGGCGGACAATGCCGCTAGAATATCGCTGCTTTTCCAAAAGGCACCTTGGCGAGATAGGCTTCCTATATAACGTTCTCGCATGCAGGCAACATACAACACTGATAATCAGAATTTTTTATTTCATTATTGAAGCCATTATGGGATAATAAACATACGAAGCTTATGAGGGAAACGAAACAAAATTATGTATACCAATAAAATAACACGGCGCTCGCATCGCTATTCCCGCCGGGTACACCATGCAAGTGTACATACATCTCGTGTACATATTTGAGGCAATACATTAAAAATTTGCTGATAGTATTAAACATAGTGATTACATGAATTCCATAAATGAATAGTTTTACAGCAAGCAATTGGTATCTTTTTTCTGTTTGGGCTATAAATTTATTTGAAAAACGGTAAAACTACATATTCGTTATCAAACTTTCCAGCTGCACAAAAGTTGTCCAACGCAAATCCTTCCAATAGGAAATCGGTACTCGGTTCAAGTGTACATAGCTACCTATACGCGATCTGTACACTGCTTATCACAATACGTAATTATCTATCACCCGTGTGAATCTGGCTCACTATATTAACCAATATTAATGAAATTGCTCACCAAATTAGTTTTAATTGCTCAATTATCCTTTTCGAGAAATAACCAAAAAAATATTGAGACGCCTAGTGACTTTTATGAGAGGCTGGAGTCTTTTAAAAATACGAAAATTCTCAAATAATACATGAAACGTGCTGTGTGACCTACCAAAGAATTGCTTTTTTCATCCAATTGCTTATCCTTTCACGGGCTACAATTTTATCAATAGACAAATATATAAGGAACTAGGAGCACGTGCCATTCATGGCTGCCAAATATTAATTGGCATAAATACTCGAAAAATTGTTCTAACTCAATGTGCGATGGCTTAAACAATTGCTCTTTAATTGCCCATCGTTGATTTCGCGAGAGATTGAAGAATTGCTCTTTTTTAATGATTATTGTTCTATAATTACTTTTAACTGCTTACTTCCACTTTTCGAGAAACTGCCTAAAAACCATCACGCGGTCTCGATTCCCTGAAGTCCGGCCAACGATACAAGCGAAGTTAGTCGAAAGTATAAACCCGTTATCAGGTGAGCTCGACTATTGGTAAATTTTTGGGCACTGTTTTGACCGCCATCTGAATTAGCTGGAAACTTGGACGAACTAAAATTCAATATGGCGATTTAAAAGCGGTAATTGAAATTCTGTATTCTAAAAATGTACTTAATATACTATAACACAGGGGGAGGGAAAATAATTAAAGTTAAAAATTAATATGGGAACAAATTTTTTATTTTCTAGTTTATTATTTTCTAGTTCTGCTACGTTGTCGATGATGAGATGGATCAATCTAAAACAAAAATGTATGTACTTTTAAATACTATTATAAAGATATAAAAGCCTGTGGGAAATAAAAATAAGTATGGTTATTGTGTGTGTGTGTGTGTGTGTGTGTGTGCTTATGTCCGGTATATTTTCGCTGTGGTTCACTGATTCGTTTGCGGTCAGCTTGGCTTAGCTTAGAATGGCGGGAATGACGTTGCGTCGGCACATTGTCTACCACAGTCTACCAAATGCAGATACGAGTGGGCAGCTATACAGAATTTTAGTTCGCCTAAGTTTACTAGCTTAGATGGCAGTGAAAAAAGTGTCCCCGATTTTCCCTACAGAGTTGACGCCCCCTGGTGTTACGTTTCTTTATGTTGTCAGCAGATTTCATTTCATGATCATTCACACTCCCGACTAGGAAAAGGATCTGTTTGGTAAACTTACAGGTTGAAACGTCAGCACTTTCTGACCGTAGATTGTGACGTCAATAACCGGTTGTTAACCGATGCTTAACAATTACATGGTTTTTTTGTTCTCCCACTACGGCGAAATGTGCGTCACATCATAGACCACTGTCACAGTCACACATATGTCATTAATATAACACGGAACCAATATCTATACAATAGAATTCTGTGAAAGCTTAGGTAAGTTCTAAATCTTAATCATAAGGATTGCAGACATGGTATAAATGTATAAAGCTTTGTAAACTACGTTTTGTTTGGCAGTGTTTCGTAACAAGTGTGCAAATTTACAACAGGGGCGTCGCTTCCTTCCTTGACTTTATTGTTTCAACTTTATTCGAAGGTATGTTGTTGTAATTACTTTATTACGATACGTTTCTATCAATTCGTAGCCAACTAACAGATGGTATTCTGTGACTAACTGGAAAAATTTTCTTTTTAATTGCAGAATATTCTGTCTCTCAAGAATTTTCGTGATTAAAATAGAAAAATGAGTTACGGGTATCAAGTAAGTATAATNAATTTTATCAATAGACAAATATATAAGGAACTAGGAGCACGTGCCATTCATGGCTGCCAAATATTAATTGGCATAAATACTCGAAAAATTGTTCTAACTCAATGTGCGATGGCTTAAACAATTGCTCTTTAATTGCCCATCGTTGATTTCGCGAGAGATTGAAGAATTGCTCTTTTTTAATGATTATTGTTCTATAATTACTTTTAACTGCTTACTTCCACTTTTCGAGAAACTGCCTAAAAACCATCACGCGGTCTCGATTCCCTGAAGTCCGGCCAACGATACAAGCGAAGTTAGTCGAAAGTATAAACCCGTTATCAGGTGAGCTCGACTATTGGTAAATTTTTGGGCACTGTTTTGACCGCCATCTGAATTAGCTGGAAACTTGGACGAACTAAAATTCAATATGGCGATTTAAAAGCGGTAATTGAAATTCTGTATTCTAAAAATGTACTTAATATACTATAACACAGGGGGAGGGAAAATAATTAAAGTTAAAAATTAATATGGGAACAAATTTTTTATTTTCTAGTTTATTATTTTCTAGTTCTGCTACGTTGTCGATGATGAGATGGATCAATCTAAAACAAAAATGTATGTACTTTTAAATACTATTATAAAGATATAAAAGCCTGTGGGAAATAAAAATAAGTATGGTTATTGTGTGTGTGTGTGTGTGTGTGTGTGTGCTTATGTCCGGTATATTTTCGCTGTGGTTCACTGATTCGTTTGCGGTCAGCTTGGCTTAGCTTAGAATGGCGGGAATGACGTTGCGTCGGCACATTGTCTACCACAGTCTACCAAATGCAGATACGAGTGGGCAGCTATACAGAATTTTAGTTCGCCTAAGTTTACTAGCTTAGATGGCAGTGAAAAAAGTGTCCCCGATTTTCCCTACAGAGTTGACGCCCCCTGGTGTTACGTTTCTTTATGTTGTCAGCAGATTTCATTTCATGATCATTCACACTCCCGACTAGGAAAAGGATCTGTTTGGTAAACTTACAGGTTGAAACGTCAGCACTTTCTGACCGTAGATTGTGACGTCAATAACCGGTTGTTAACCGATGCTTAACAATTACATGGTTTTTTTGTTCTCCCACTACGGCGAAATGTGCGTCACATCATAGACCACTGTCACAGTCACACATATGTCATTAATATAACACGGAACCAATATCTATACAATAGAATTCTGTGAAAGCTTAGGTAAGTTCTAAATCTTAATCATAAGGATTGCAGACATGGTATAAATGTATAAAGCTTTGTAAACTACGTTTTGTTTGGCAGTGTTTCGTAACAAGTGTGCAAATTTACAACAGGGGCGTCGCTTCCTTCCTTGACTTTATTGTTTCAACTTTATTCGAAGGTATGTTGTTGTAATTACTTTATTACGATACGTTTCTATCAATTCGTAGCCAACTAACAGATGGTATTCTGTGACTAACTGGAAAAATTTTCTTTTTAATTGCAGAATATTCTGTCTCTCAAGAATTTTCGTGATTAAAATAGAAAAATGAGTTACGGGTATCAAGTAAGTATAATTCATTTTTTACATAGATTGATTATTGAAATACTTTAAAGTGTTTGACTCTGTGAGAAAACATTGTTTATCCTATAATTTCTATAAACTATCGATTTATACTAATAGTAGTGCCATTATAAATTCTAATAAAATATAGTAAAGCACTGTTGCAATTTATTAAAAGATATAATCTGCAAGGATTGGAACTTACTATTTTAATTTACAACTTAATATCAAAGGGACCACCGATTCAGTTTCCTGGACAACCGCCAACATCGTTCGGAGCTCCGCCAGGTACACCCTCTGCTCCTGGTGCTATGCCTTATCCCCAAACTGGCAACATAGGTTTCCCTAACGCTCCTCCTATGTCCTTTGGAATGCCAATGCCTTATGCTCCTTATGAATGCTCTACTACAACCCAGTCAAATCAACCTATGCCTGGACAATGTCCTCCTCTACCACCCAGAGGACCTTCGATGCCTATGCCTCAGTCTGTCCCTTATCCGACACAGCAAGCACATACAATATATACCAGCCACATCTCTCCATCCTCGCATCAACCAAACTATAATATATATCCAAGTCTCCAGCGTGCACCTGAGGCAAGAGAAGCTTTCAATAGCCCTTCCCCTTATCCTTCTGCTCCTAACGTTTCTGCGAACAATGCAAGCTTCTATCCAGGCGGAAGTTATTCCGGGGGGCAGGCTACTTATTCTCTATATGGAGGCAAACCTGCTTCTCCTCAACATTCACGCCCAGCCCCCCGAAGAGATCAATTTACGCCCAAGGTGAGGCAGAGGAGATACAATTGAGAAACTTCGCTACTTGATTTGAGATTATTCTGGTAACAGAAAAGTGATTTCTAAATTGTTATTTGTTTATTTGTGTTGCAGTTATCTCCCACTGTTGTGCCCTGCAATGATTTCGATCCAAGGGCTGATGCGGAAGCTTTGAGGAAGGCTATGAAGGGATTTGGGACCGATGAGAAGACCATCATTAGTATATTAACTGATCGCATTAATTTGCAGCGTCAAGAGATCGCTGTACAATTCAAAACCTTATATGGAAAGGTGAGAACACGAGGTTTTTACCAACTTTTGAAGAATATCAATAATGTAATAATATATACTTTTCGAATAGGATCTTCTCAAGGATTTGAAGTCCGAGTTATCAGGCAATTTTGAAAAATTAATTCTCGCTATGATGATGCCGCTGCCACAATACTACGCAAAGAATTTACATGACGCAATGGCCGGTGTTGGTACGGACGAGTGCGTGCTTATCGAGGTTCTTTGTACCATGTCCAATCATGAGATTCGTGTTATTAAACAGGCTTACGAATTAAGTGAGTTCTGCACGCGATAGTATTACTTGTATTAGTGTCACGCATTCTTAAACCGGGAATCTTTTCAGTGTACGGGAGATCGTTGGAAGATGATCTGAGAGATGATACATCCGGAAACTTCAAACGTTTAATGGTATCACTATGTTGTGCTAACAGAGATGAGTCATTCGATGTGGATCCCGATGCCGCAATAGAAGATGCCAAAGAATTACTCAGAGCTGGTAATTATTTCCTAATACAGTTTGGGGCTTACCCAAGTTCACTAATAAGCTGAAATTATCATGTTCATTTTTTTTGTTCTTAGGTGAACTACAATTTGGTACCGATGAGTCAACGTTCAACGCCATTCTCGTTCAGAGAAACGTACCACAATTGAGACAAATATTCCAAGAATACGATAACATAACTGGACACACTATTGAAACTGCTATCGAAAATGAATTTTCTGGCGACATTAAGAAGGGCTTACTTGCTATTGGTAAGTGTTTTTTTCGTGATGTATAAAAAATTCTATGAAGAAATTTTGTTAACAGCAATTTTATTTTGCAACAGTAAAATGCGTAAAGAATCGGCCTGGCTTCTTTGCTGAACAATTATATAAGAGTTTGAAGGGCATCGGCACCGACGATGACCATTTGATCAGATTGGTCGTCACTCGTAGCGAAGTGGATATGGGCGAGATCAAACAAGCCTTCGTGCAACAGTATACTGAAACACTGGAAGACTATATCAAAGTTAGTATATTAAAAGTAAAATTTAAAAAGCAGTGAGAGCATGCACTAACATTCATAATTTTTTATAGGGTGACTGTTCAGGCCACTACAAGAAATGCCTTTTGGCCCTAGTATCTTAAATAAACTGCGTCAACAATGGATTAAACAAATGGTCAAGGTATACCTAATTGTTAAATATTCGATAAGATACATTCGTGTCTACTACTTCGTTTTATTCATGAATATTAATGTCGTGAGCATTTCATGTTGAAACGTTTTTATGAATATAAGGTTCCTATATGCATAAAATATTTTATTGCCAATGTTTACACATAATGAATCTCACAAGCTTTCATGTACCTTGAGAGAAACTTCAATTATTATACCAGTTATATAAATCTGAATTCTATTTTATAAATGCTTATATACATATGTACCTAAACAAATGATGAGAATAAAGTATAAGAAAACTCTCACGAAAAAACACTGCAATATTGGTTTCTATTTCAATGCTAATGTTTTTTGTCGCTTCCAATAAGAATCCATTGGAATGACAGTATTGTCTCTTGGGCGGTGCAGCGCCAATTAATCCAGTGGCAAAATGCTCAAACTGTTGGGCAACATGACCGACAGAATAAATTACACCAATCATAATAGCGCCTCTTACGGTAAAGTTCTGAAATTAGTAGACAAAATTACCAACGCTTTACAGACCCCTAAACCCTAAAATTAAAATTATATTTTACAACGAAATAAAAATTAATTTAACACTGATATTTTTTTAGGTTTGGGAGATTCAAATGAAAGTCGAGAGAGTACGTTTTATGTTCGATACAATACAATTGCAAAGAAAACTGGATGTCATAATAAAAAACATGAAGATACTGAGGTTTCATATTTTACGAGTTTTATTTCTGTAGATTGCTGTAGCGATACTTAAGTATCGTAATGTATATGTATGTACATTTAAGTGATAATAATCAGCAATATTTATGTACAAGTACATCGAATTATAAACACTAAACATTCGTCACACCTTACAGATAATTTCTCTAAATCAATTCGTTTGAATGTTGCAACTGTCCTTTGTTTCTTTGTGTTTTTTTTTATGGTCAATGTGTCGTTTCCTTCGTCGAATGTGATCGAAGTGAAATATATAAAATCATGTTTCCTTTGTTTTGGCACAGCTTGTCACGAGAAAGAAAATAGAATACACGCAACTGAGAAGAAAAGAGCGTTGGAAGAAACATTTCTAATGATCGCAGTACAAGTCTTTTCTTTTTTATCAAACGTATTTGTCTATTACTACTCCGAAATAGAAGCTTCCATCCTATTCGCGGAAAATATTTGATGTTCGATAAAGCTTTTTTCATCTAAACAACATATGTACTGTTTAATCATAATGATAATTAATTAATGATAAAATAGTAATGATAACGAGATTTCGATTATCGACACGTCGTCGAGTAAGATGGCGCGCAATTGTTGTTTCTTTCAAGTTGATTTCGCGTAATTATTCATTAAATCTGCATAGGTTGGTATTATTGGTCTCGCATACAAATACATAATACAGAAACCGACATGCAATTAGTTTTTTCATTTTTAAAAGCGGGGTATATTACAAACTTAACAATAGCGGTAGATACACCAATAAATTTATGCAATGCGTATATTACAAAACTGTTTCTTTCCTTTTTTTCATTGTTTTTTTTCACTTTCTCCATTTTTTAACAAAGTTGGTTCTGTCCATGAATCTGTATTGTATCTCTTTGTTACAGAGGCGTGTAAATTATTAGTTCAATACGCTCTTTTCATTGTTGTTCGGTTGTCTATAGAAAAAAAAAAGTAATTATCCTGTACTAATTTACATTTTGGATGTTTCTATCGTCACAGATTAAGCTACGATTAAACTAATATACAAACAATGTAAACGGATGATTTTTCGTAAAATTAATCGTATTAAAGTTTTTTGTTTTAATTTTCTTTTAATTCGCGTCTAATAATTTGAACACCTCTGCATCGTTGAATCGGTTACTCGCGGTTGCTGCTGCATACATTCTGACACGCTGGCCTGTTTAAATGTTTCTCGTTTTATTTGTTTTCATTCTAATACTCTAAGAATTCTCTTGTTATACATCCATTACGTGCATTCGCTTTCCTATTCGCATTGACACACCTCCGTTTTCAAAATTCTATACCATTTGTTTGTTACTCGTAAAAATCAAGTCGATGGTATTAGTGGTCACATCAATAAAATCATTGTCCATAACAAACAAGTGAAATCATTATAAAGTCTTATATTTATTATTTACGTATAAATATTGTTAAATATGTATATTAAAAATTTGCTACACATTCCACGATTATTTTACATAGAATTCGTTATCTCTATCCTGGTAATGACTTAAATCGATTAAGTAACGTTCTTTTTCTTTCTTTCTTTTTTTTCCATTTCATCGGTTGTTTTTATTAAATTGCACACGAACTCTCTCGCATCAACGAAAATAGGAAACTATATTTGGAGCGAGGCTCGATCCTGATCTTTATCGTTCTGACCTTTCCCTTTAAAGAATAGTAATCATAATAACGGTAGCAATAGTAGTAAGAATAATAATAGAACACAGCGTCGATCAGGCTCGAGCCTCGAAAAATGCACGCAATAATAATCCCTATGTCCTTTGTTACAAGTTCAAAAAGTCATGCGTTCGACAAAGAGCAATGAAACGAAAGAGGAATGGCAATCGACGCTGCGCTTCTAGAAATTGAGTCACGACGTCATGGTATAAAAATCTAAACTGACCTTACTGTGTACTATAAAATAGAATCGTTTTTCCCTTTTTCCGACAAGCGGGCTCCGAGAAACTGGTTCTCGCCGCTTGTAAGATTACATGTAATGTCTAACGCGTTCGGGTTTACTTTCGTTGACGGTTTCGTGACTCGATTATCCTCGATCGTCAATCGGTCCGAACGCCTATCCGCGCGTTATCCACCCCTTTCAAGGGGGTATCAATGAACACGTTGCGTTTCTTGCGCATCTAATGCTTCGTCGATCTCTAACAACGACCAAAAAAAAAAAAAGAAAAAATAATATCGTTAATAACGTGACACGACAGTCTTGCGCCGACAACAGACTTCTTATGCTCAAATCAGACCTAATACAGTCCCTGTGTCAATAGCTCCCAATGGAAAATAGAATTCAACAGCGATACCCCTGTTCCCCGAAGACTATCGTTTACAATTCCGTATTAGGATACATTCAGATATACAAAGCTCCTCGATCGAGATATTACAAGCAATTTCAGCGTATACCGTGATGAGATTGTATTTCGTATTCACTCTCGGTTCAATGAATTTTTGTAACTTTATCGTCTAATCATGAAATCTGAACAATATTACCATTAGAAAAAACTTGTAACACTTCGAGGGAGAGAGATAGAGTTAGAGAGTTAGAGAGAGAGAGAGAGAGAGAGAGAGAGAGAGAGAAGCCGTATATCATTGTCTATATCAATGACGACTCGTGCAACAGTCATTGTTTGTGTTCCTTCGGAAAAAGAACGATCGGTATCGCACCACATGACCTCAACAAAGTATACATACATATATATATATAATATATATATATGGTGGCTCATTATTTGGACCGGAAGAACTTAACTAATACCACGGCCGGGTTTGTAATATAGTTTCGACGTGTTTTAGCTGCATCGACATGTTAAAAAATATTTATTGCGGCTGGAACGAATATAGTGACGGAACAAAACTCTTGAGCGTCGTACGTCGATGGCTAAGCAAACCGTATTCAGGGCGTTAATGCTTGGATCTGAGCACTGTAAGTCTACCTAATCTAGAGTTTTGCATCTAATCAGAGTTCATCAATCATCTGTAGGCAAGAGACCGCTTCTACGCAGCGAAAAACACATTTTGGTGGTCGTTACCAAACAAGATTATGGCCACGGATGAGGTATAAGATAGATTTAACACCCAACATGTTCTCAGATCTCATTCGACAATTTCATCTTGGTTATATAATACAACGGGGGATTAAACGTAATACAATTAATATATTGTGAATTTGATTAAAAACAACATAAACAATACGATTACCTTATTTTTAGTTCAATATGCATATCGTCTTTATGTGATTACGAATCATTTGAAATTTCGTTGTATACATTCAAGACCACTCTCTCCGGTAGAAATTGAATGTATATCCTCGCGTTACAAAGTCATCGTTTTCAAATACAAAGAGTGCAAGACTTTTTGCTTTATATACTCGTGGGGGGATCAGTTCTTCAGAGTATTCACGACACGAGAATTCTCGCAGAATGTTAGGTCTATCCTACGCCTTCGCGTTCACTTTAACAGGCCACTTGGGTCTCAAAGGAGAGGGGTCACTATACTTGTTCCATCGGCAACAAAATTCAGACGGATATCTCATAAGCGGCGTATGCTGCCGCTGTTCTGTCCTCTTTGGAACGAGAGACGCTAAGTGTCGGCAAACGATCGGGTACCATCTCCGTCCAGCCGCAGGATGGTGCGGAGACGTTGAAGCTGGGCTATACGGATATCTCATAGTTCATGTCGTAGACACTAGCTCGATCGTTGGTGGGCGTGGTGGGACGTTGAGATCGGTTGTCGTTCGGCGCGGACACCATCTCCATGGAATTGGTCATTTCAAGAGCTCGAACGAAAGACATCGGTCTGCGGCGTGTGTCGCCTGACGTGGGCGTGGTGGGCGTCACCATAGCGGCTTTCCGTTTGACTTGGGGCGATTGATGAGGTGGGAAGACCGGTACGCCGCCCCTGATCGCCGGATGATACGCCGATCTTGGTGCGTTCGCGTACAACTGTTGCGTGGGACTGGTTGGATTCGATCTGTAGTAATCGTAAGAAGGTGGCGGTCTCTGCGAGGGCGACTGGTGTGTCGTCGTTGTGTTCTGCGTCCCCGGTGGTGCCGGATAGCTGCCCGGAGAATTGTCCTTCCACATATAGACGCCGCGCTGTGGGGAACCAGCCAGCTCCCGGATGTTGTCCACGGTGTTGTTCGTCCAGGAGTACGAGTGGTCACCGCCGCCCTGGCGCACCAGCTCGCTTTCCGACAGGAAACGTCGTTGAGGACTGTAACCGGTCACCACGGTGCCGCTAGCCCCGGCAGCACCGGCATTGTTCCCCTGCTGCACATCGTAATACGTTGATGCGTCGTTTACTCCTATAAAATCTGGCCGACGAACCTGCGTCGGCGTACCCGGGTTCGATCTGCAACAAAGACATGTCGCATTGGCTTCCATCAACCTCGACTAACAACAGATCAGCTTCGATTCTTTGACTGTGTTGATACTCGAACACATGGTAGCACCTCTTAACTTGCACGCCACTCGGAGTACCAAATAAGACAAGTATACTCGACTTTCTTTTCTTGACGTTCCATCGAATTTTTTCACCTTATAATATCATAATATTTATATTGTCACATAGTTGTAATAACATAACATGACATAGAAGACACGAGTCCATCTGTCTTGTGGTCTTAGGTTTATGTAATGTCCGCAGTCAATAATTTGATCCTTTATTTTCCAAGTTCGAGATTATAACCCAGGGTCATAGTATTTTGGAAGCGCGCAAGTTTAGAGGTATTATTTGAACTGACAAATACGGTACAATTAACCAACATGAGAATAAAAAAGAAATATTTATATATATTTATATATATATATAAATATTTGTGTGTGTGTATACAACATGTTCTATTTGAAGTATCACACTCAATTATCTCCTAAACTATAGTTCGTTTCAAAAAATGTGTCAAATGAACCTTACCCTGTTTCGAAGGAGACAGCCTGTAACGGTCACAAATTTTTGCTGGGTGGACGTGTTTCCGAGATTTAAAAATTACCCTGTTTTTTTTTTAATGGAACTGTGTATTTTTTTATGTCAGCAGATAGTGCATTTCAAGGTCAATTCATTAACACGAATACGTTGATCTTTGAAGGTCGTCCAAGGTCATTTAATGTTATTTAAAGTTTACTTGTTTTTAGTATGAGTCTCGTTATATTTACATTCGCAACGATAAAATACTGAAATAAGATGGAATTTTTCGAACGTTTAATGAAGATTTAAAAAATGTAAAATGAACTTGAACGATCTTCAAAGACCAAAGTACTTAGGTCAATGACATGACCCTGAAATGTACAATCCGTTAACTTAAAAAAATATATACAGAGCCATTAAAAGAAATGAAGTTACTTTGAAATCTCAGAAGCACGTTCACCCAGCAAAAATTTGTGACCATTCTAGGATGTCTCCTTCGAAGCAAGGTAAGTTCTGTTGAACACATTTTTTGCAATAAACTGTAGTTCAGGAGATAATCAAATGCATTACTTCAAATGGGATATCCTGTATATGCGAGTGCTTGAGCATTGTAGCCATACAAATACGGCTATGGCGATACATACAGAGAAGAGATAGATAGCTAAAGATAAAGAAAGACAGAGAGAAAGAGAGAGAGAGATAGAGAACAGCGCAACATTCCTGTTATAAAATTAGCATCTATCCAAGAAAACGTAAAAAGGTATATATAATATAGCGAAAACCTAGCAAATATACATTATTAACGTAGAGACGTTTATACTTGCGTGTTGTTCGACTGATATATGTGAATATACATATATACAAATGTGTATACAGATGTATATATACATATATAGATTCGAGTCATGTATACTTCTCTCTTAAAGGATATATGTAGATACGTATATATATATATGTAATATATGCAAGAAAGCATAACTTGAAACTACGATATGTCCTCGTAGGATGAAGTTCGTGTTTACCTGCAGTAGGTTGCAACATGATGGTAGAAAGCAGCTCCTTGCAGTTACCACCCCCTGCAGTGGGACACAAACTTATCTATATACCATATATCTTGTAATATATACATGCAGAGAAACTAATTCTCTACGATATTAAACATGATCTACGGTCGCGTAATACGGTTCCATGTTTTTCCTTTGTCTTTTTTTTGCCTTGTTTTGTTTCATTGTTTTCTCTATCGCACACGATCCTTCGTCATTCAGAAGGCGAGATATATACATATATAAATGTATATATATATAGTGGTGAGAGTTATAGGAAGAAAAGAATAAGAGCAAGAGCGAGGTGTTCGCATAAGTGAGGGAGTACAGGTAATCTGAAGTAAAACAGGCTTCACATCATATCGAGAGGTAGCAAACAGGAACATCGAATAAAAGAAACCAATATATATATATATTCACTCATTGTAATTGATATAGCGTGCTCGACAAATGCAATGGAACTATTTACTAGTGTGGCGCTTCCCTCTTGTTCTCTACAGATAAATAGAAACAATATTCTGTGCAACGTGAAAATGCCGCGAAGTACAATTACGAAAAGTTAAAAAAAAAAAAAAGTGAGTAAAAAAAATAGTACATCTAGAAGATCAATATCCCAAAAACAACGTGTCTCAAGTCTTCACGAGTATATAACGGAGTATTTGATTATCTTTCCTTACTTTCTCAATTGTACAAGTTACTAGATTGCTTGCAGAATTTTTCTCAAGATATATATATATAATTCAAGTTCATTATGTCCGTTATAATTTTGTCTATTTGTTCTCCGATTAGGCGGCTAAGGGCGTGATAGTATACCTGCGCATAGGACTGGAAATAGCAAGAGGAGTCGGTACTCCGATAGCTTTAATCCGTTGTGTTGTTGGACTAGCACCACCCTGACCTTGACCTCTCTGAGAAGCTGTGGCAGGCGATCCGCTAGCTTCCGGTGACAATGGATCGGGCGTGTGGCTTCGAGAGCCATTTATTCCCCTATAGGTATTGACAACGTACCTTATGTGTATTAGAAAAAAAATTAGCAAACGCTTTTACCATTTGCTGCCTTGGTTTGTGTTACCTTGGCCTTGGATGGGGGCTGCCTCCAGTGTATTGCATTGGATGGCGATGTTGCATTGGCGGAGGATGCCTGGGAGACTCGCTGTTCTCCACAGGTGGCAGGAAGAAATTGCTTTTAGAACCGTGTCTTTGTAGTGGAGGAGTAGGCTCGCAATCCGCTGATTGAGATGCAGTTGGTTCCATATCTGTGTCCGACCCATCTCGTCCAGGGGACAACTGGAACCGATAAGACACACCGGCTACTCTTACAGTACAGATGCGAACGTTCGTTATCGAATCGTTGGATTACATTTTTTGTACAGAATGCACGTCGGTCAAGGATACTGACTGAATTAATCGGGATAGGTAAGGAACGGAAGACTGACCGGCGAACACAGCTTTCCATCTTCATGAACGAGGTATTATAGATAGGAAGAATCGTTGCTTGATATTGTACTCTAAATAAATCAAGTTGTAAAATTAATAAACGGTGCATGGTAACTAGAAAACTCGTGCAAGAAATACTTTCAAAGTGCACCAAATGTGCAAACTCGCAATTCACACTGTATAGTCTATGAAAGCTTTAAAGCACTGGAAAGGTAGCGTAGCACAGAGTTTAGAGTTTCTTTCAAAGCCAAGTGAATTGCATAGCCACACACTGCTGGTAAATGTACATTGAAGAAGCATTGAAACTTCATGCTAGAGAAGATGTTATTATTTACAGTTGTTAAGTCTTCTCGTACATAGTTATCAGAAGTGTGAAGCGATGTTGCACTAGCTCTTACCTTATTGTAAGCATTTGAACTGGCATTTCTAACACCATTGCTGCTATCCATGTAGGTTTTTACCTGGTTCTCACTGCCTATAGTCGATATCTCAGATGTGCAAGCTCCGCGTCGTTTTCCTAAATACTTTTCTGGCTTAAGTAAACTAGAACACCACAGGATAAATTGATTATTCATTTTATCTACTTACATTTATGAATCATAATTAATTGTTGATGCGTTACCTGGGATATTGTGGTCCAAATTGCGTGTAACAGCAATTGTGTAGACATCCACGGGAAAAGGGATTGTAGCCTCCGTCAAATTTACCCGTTACCTGTTCATTTGTCGTACGTCCTCTGGAAACAAGTACTACGTGAAAACAAGTCAGCCCAAAGATTGGAATGAATAAGAGCACAACCACTCCCATAAGTACAAATCTATAATATGCTTAAGGATCATAAGATGCAAAAACATGTCTTCGTGAGAGAACTAATATTTGAGTAGCAAAACAAGGATACGCGACAATTGTGTCTACTTCGCCCAGCTGTTGTTTCCCCTCTAATACGAAATGCAGGCAGAGTCCAAATATACTGAGCATGTGAAAACTGAGTGACAAAAGAAAGAAAAAAAAGTATCTGTAGTTTCTCCTTCCGATGCAGTTGTTCAACCATGGACAATGATGATCGAATGTCTGAAAAGGTTAAGAGTCAATGAAATATCCATTTTAACATCTATTTTAGTATTTCTTACAAACCTCGATACACTGGTTGCAAACACTGCAATGAGAACAACGGGGAGGCCTATAGAACTTGCAGGTGAGGCACCATTTCATGCGTATTGTGATACCGTTGATTTCTACGCTTTTGTATAATGGTGCACTAAATTCATCCTCTTTATCTTCGTCAGGAGATGCTTCAAAAGAAAAATCATACATATTAACCAAGTCATTCAAGTAGTCATTCTTAGCAATCTTTTCTTGTAACATTCCCTGTAAAACACACTGCAGTTATAAATTTGAAACTTTTATTACTTCCATAACTAGACATGTAAGATTGATCAACAAATACAGATAAATACAAATAAATAAAAAGCATAGATCAGACGTATACGAAAGAACTTGAATTAATTCTGATCAGGTTTCTAATACCTCGGTGCTAAAAAGATTTCGGTTACAGAGGTTCGACAGAGTTATTGTTCGTTCGCAACAAACTTACAACTGCACTACATCTTATCGAGTTAAAGTACCTTTCGGTATAACACCAGGGTCCATGAAGGTGGCTAGCGTGAAATTGGCCAGCACGATGAAGGCCAGCACTCCCTGAAGGGCAGGTACCCATGTCCCCCATCGGAACACATAATACTGGCATCTGTAAAACCCAAGTGTAATTGACAAGAACAAAAGTCATGTATATCAACAGAGACCGCGGAGAAATTTGTCGTATGAAAACAGGATAGCAAACCGTTGCGGCCTCTCACGAGAGGACTACGGACGTGTGGTGCAAGAGACTTACGGGAAACAGAAGAATAATGTGGTGGTGCTGAGTAGAACTGTCCAAGCGCAAGTAGCTGGTAGAAACTTCGCCCTCACACCGCATATCGGCATTCTGCACACTCCACTTTGTGGTCGACGATTAACGAATTATTAATGGGTGAGATTTCTGCTAGCAGAAAACATGGCCGCGTCCATCAGCACTGCTTATTTGCGAGTCCCGCGGTCCGTAGTTAGCACAGACTTCCATTCTTGACACGCTCGAACATCCGTAGCATCTTGATAATCGGTCTTCGTCTATTAAGCGCGCGTCACTCCGGCAAAAACATCCGTAACGTGATTAATGTTTAAACGCTTCAGCACGTACGATCCGCGAACACACTACCTTGCTGACATACATATATATGCATACCAATGTATACATAACGTATACGTCTGTCTCGCTTCCTATCCTTTTCTCCCTCATTGTGTGAAAGATGTCGGTACATATGTATACGTACATACATATATACATATTGTGCACGATGGCTAGC